CACTGCGCCACCTAGCTGCCCCTTAAATATTAAATCTTAACTAAATTATCTCCCCAACCATGCTTTATTTCACTATCTGGACACTTCCTTCCTAGCCTCCTCAAGACTGCTTCACCCCTTTCCAGTTCTGGAACCATGAACCATGATCACTTAAACTCTGCCATTGTTCCTGGATGGGGTGTGTCAATCTATTTCCCTTTAGCCCCACTCACCATCCTATTAAGTTTCTGGATCAAAGTGCTTTTCTCTGGCCACGATTCCTTTAAATGTGTTATTTTCCCCGTTATAATGTAGGGTTTTTTTGAGGGGAAGGACTGTCTTTGCTTTTGTATTGGTTTTCCCAGAGCTTAAGTAAGGCCTTAATAAAGCTCTTCTTTTCTTTCTTCCTCCTCCCTTCCTTTCTTCTCCAGAAATCACCTGCCCTGAAAAAACATGGTATTTCATCTTCAGAAGGACAACATTCAGACATTCTCAGTTGGAATCATGGATTCTAATTAGATCCAAAAACAAACAAACAAAAATCTCAGCTTGTCACTCATCCTGAGCCCAGGCACCTGTGTGATATTATGTCTGAGCTGTTACCTACCACATCTGCAGAACAAAGGTACTTTCGAGGACCAGACCTGTAACTCCATCCCAGGCAGAAACTCCACCCACTCATGTAGATTAGCAACTTGACTTTGACACCCCCAAACTGAAATACAGCTCATATCTTTTTCTTGAGGAAACAAAGTCTACTAAGTCAGCAAAGGTCATGGCACTTTTTGCTGATTGAAAAAAGGCAGTGTGCATGGCAGATAAAGTGGCAGGAGACAGGAAGACTTGGGTTCAAATCTCACTTCAGATACCTCCTGGCTGTGTGACCCTGGGCAAGTCACTGCACTCAACTGACCCCGATTCCTCCACTATAAAATGGAGATAATAATATCACCCACTTCACAGGATTGTTGTTCAGATCAGTAGATGTGAGCTTTTAGAGAGCAGGGCTGATTTTTGCCATTCTTTGGATCCCCAGTGCTTAATACAGTTTTTGGCTCTTAATGAATTTGTTGACTGACTCTTAATGAGTTTAAAAATAAACTTAATAAACTCAATGAGTTTACTGACTGACTAAAGCATTTTACAAGTCTTAAAGGGTTATAGAAATGTGAGCTAGTATCCCAAGGCAAAATTATATACTTGGCATATTATGGGGAATGAAAGATCTGGTTTGGGGAGGATTTACAAATCCATAAATTTGATTAGGATCCTTTCTGAAAACCAGTAAATCAGTGGGTAAACCAGAGGGATACAGTACATGGAATTACTACATAGTGTGCTTAGATATCAACATAGCAAAGAGATTGTAGATTTAGAGCAGGAAGGGACCTAGGAAGTCATCTAATCCAACTCTATCATTTTATAGAGAAGGATACTTTGGTCAAGGGAATTTCAATGACTCACCCAAGGTAAAACAAGGAATAAATATCAGAAGTGGAGTTTGAACCCAGATCCTCTGACACCAGGGCCAGGGCTCTTTCCATTATACCACGATACCTCCAAAGTCTTCCATGTGATGCTTATTGAAAAGATAGAGAAATATGAATGACACAATATTAATATTAGGTGGATTTTGAACCTGGTTGAATGACTGGACACAGAGAAGTCACATGTAGGTGTCAACTTGAAAGGGGGCTCTGGTGGGGTGCCTCAAGGCTCTGCCTTTGGGCTGGATTGTTCAATCTGCTTCTCAGTGACACGGATGAAGGCATAGATAGGATGTTTGCCAAATTTTCAGATGACATAGTGCTTGGAGGAACAGTTAACACTCTGGATGATGGAGTTATTATCCAAAAGGATGTCAACAGGCTAGAGGATTGGGTGGAATCTAAAAGGTGAAATTCAATAGGATAAATGTAAAGACTTAGACCTGGGTACTAAAAATCAGCTCCACAAGTATGATATATGAAAGGTATGGAAAGACATAAGTTGTTCTGAAAAAGATCTGGGCGTTTCAGTGGACTGCAAGCAGTATGATGTGGCAGTCAAAAAAGCTAATGTGATCTTGGGCTGCATTAAGAGAAATATAGCTTCCAGGAATAGGGAGGTGAGAAATGCACTGTATTCTGCCCTTGTCAGGCATCTGGAGTCCTTGTTCAGTTTTGGACACCATGTTTTGAAAACATTGATAAGCTGGTGGAGGATGACCAGGATGGTGGAGAGGACTGGTTGATGGAATCGGGTATGTTTAGCCTGGAATAAAGAAGACTCATTACATCTAATGTCTGAAGAGCACATCATGGAGGGATTATGCTTGCTCCATTATGGCCCAGAGGACATCATGGAAATTCCTTTCGCACATGGGTATGACCAGATGGCGCCGGAGGCCCTTCCAGCTCTCAAATTCTGCTCTGTGATATTTCCGTGCATGAGGACAAGAAGTGAGCCGGTTTAGCTGAATCATAAAATGCATAACGGTGAGTGAGTCATGTAAAAAGACCTGTTGGAGCCAGACTGTGAAAGACCTAAAATGCCATAAGAGATGAGGTTTTACCAGTGAGGCAATATAAGCAGCCGCTAACCCTCACACGAGCCAAGGATCAGAATTCTATCATGGAGACATCCGTGAACAAACATCCACTCTCTCCATCTAGGATTTTTCAGATCTTCTCTGGGTAAGAGCAGAGAAGCAGAGGGAGATATTGAGATGGGAGAAGAGGACTGTGGGAAGGAATCAGGCTCAGGCTAGAGAAATGGACAGTGGAAAAGGAAGCCGCTAAGAGCAATGGTGTCTTGCAGCCACGTGGTGGCGGAGCCTATGGAGCTTCCTAGCTGGTCCTTCTCCCCACTCCAATTCGTTCACTGCATAGTCACCAAGGTGATTTTCTTAAATGCCACAATGGCACCTCCCCTGCTCACCAAATTCTGTCGTTGTTGTTGTTCAGTCACGTCCCTCTTCATGACCCTATTTGGGGTTTTCTTGGCAAAGATAATGGAGTGGTTTGTCATTTCCTTCTCCAGCTCATTTTGCAGATGAGGAAACTGAGGCAAACAGGTTTATGTGACTTGCCCAGGGTCACACAGCTTGGAAGAGTTGGAGGCTAGATTTGAACTCAGATCTCCCAGACTCCAGGCCCGGTGCTCTATCCACTGCACCATCTTGCTGCCCTAGAGTGGCTCCCGATATATGAACTCCTCTGCCGTTTAAAGCTCTTTACAATCTGGCACCTTCCAACCTTGCAAGTTCCTCCATATCACTCTCCCCCTCACATGCCGTGACTCTGCCATACTGACCAACCTATCATTCACAGAGGTTACTTTGTCTCCTGTGCCCGTGCCTCACCCTGGCCATCTCCCTCACTTGGGACGCACTTGCCTCCACCTCGGCCTCTTGGATTCCTTCCTTCAGGATTCAGCTGGATGCAGGAGACCTTTTCCACCCCACCCCCAGAGGCCAGCACCTTTTCCTCTAAGCTTCCTTTCCATATACTCTGCATATATCTTGCATGATAGACATGCTATTTCCCCTATTAGAGTTTAAGCTCCCTGAAAGCAGGGACTGATTTTGTGTTTCTGCCTTTCTTCCCCTCCCCACCCCTTAGTTTAAAAAAATCTTTGTTTATTGACTGAATTGGACTGATGCTTCTATACAAAAGTTGTGTGTGTGTGTGTGTGTGTGTGTGTTTGTGTGTGTTTGTGTGTGTAGCTTGTGCCTAGACCAGCCATGGCTCGTATTTCTCCTGGCTCTGCTCCTGACTCTAGACTTTCCCACCTCTGCCCCAGTGACTCTCTCACTCTGGAGGTGCCGCTATCCCGGTGGCCATCCCCCTCTTCCCATGAGTGGTTTCCTAACAGGAACCTTCATTTGAAGATGTGCCCAGGTCAGCCACGGCTTATTTCTCTGCCAGCTGTGTTCCTTACTCTCCAGATCTGTCCACCTTGTTCCCTACTCAGGCTCCTTTCTATGTGTTGTATCCTCTCCCCCCATGGGTATCTAAGCTTCTTGAAGCTGAGGACTGTGTTTTTGCCTTTCTTTGTAGCCATCGTGCTTAGCATAATGCCTGGCACGCAGTCAGTGTTTAATAAATGTTTATTGGCTGACTGACTGAGTAGTAGGGGTGCATATCTGTTCAGTGAAAACGCATGCATTCATAGCAGCAAACATCAGTATGGTAGTGGTATGTACTTGGCATGTACATCTATGTAAGAATAACGTGTATGAAACTGAGACCATATGACAGTAGGAGATATCTATTTAGTGAGGAGGTGCACCCCCCCCGTGGGAGGATGCATCTCTTTGGGAAACAATCCATCAACATTTATTAAGTGCCTACTATATGACAGGCACCATGCCAGGCGGCGAGGATCCAGATATGAAATTGAAAAGGGCCCTACCCTTCAGAGGCATCTATACTATTGGAATAGATACCATGTATATAAATGGGACCCCAGGATCACAGATCCAGAACTGGAAGGGACCTGGGAGGCCAAATAGACCAGCCTCCTCATTTTCATAGATGAGGAAATTGAGGTTCAAGGAGTTTATGTGACTTATCCAGGGTCACTAAGTATCTGAAACAGTATTTGAACCCAGATCTTAATGTCTCTAAGTATCCATCATACCACATATAAAAACAATTACAACTAATTTGGAAGTTGTGGTAGGGATGTGTGTGATTCCAGATGCCTTAATGGGCTGGGGGGAGGTGTCTGTAACACTCATGTGTACCTGAGAAGGCAGAATCGAGAGGTGGAAAGAATCCTGGCTCCTGGAGACCCCTTCTGACCCTTATTAGCCGTGAGACCTTGATTCACTCATGGGTAAAACAGAGCTGATGATACTTGTCCTGCCTCCCTGATACAGCGGCTATAACAAGAACCCCCGCGAGAAACCTCAATGAGCTTTGGGAGCTCTCAGAGCAGGGCAGGCATGGTGGGGATGCTCGTATGTCTGTCCCAGGGAGGGGGGTATGGCAGCAGGTTGGGATGACGCCAGCTCCGGCCCCCCCACTCCTTCTCACCGTTTCTCTTCCTTCCCTCCTCTTTTGTCACTTTCTGCTGCTGCGCTGTGGCCGTGGCCGTCACGTTCTGGGACGATGGCCTCCCGGGACTGGGCTTCCCTGATTCACTGCTAAGGACCGAGCCGTTCTCACTGGGCGACCTGCTGGAGGTAACCATGGCAACAAGGGAGGCAGTAAGTTTTTGCTGGAACCAACCATCCCAAGGTTAGAGGCTTGGGCCCCCCCCCACAAGCCACAGGGGCACACACTTATACTCTGACCTCACACAAGACAACGCTTGAGTGTGTGCATGCATGCATGCATACACACACACACACACACACACACACACACACACACACACACACAAGCTCACACACACACACACCCCCTAGAGCTGGGACAAATGTTTTGCAAACACTCAGCTCTGAAAGAAAGTTCAGGGGACTCAGCTGCGGGTCCTATTTCTCTTTAATTACCCTGCTGTGGCCATGGAAACGGTAAATAAGACCAGCTTCATTCTAAGTCACCTTTCCAAACTCTGAGTTTTGGCAGCTGCCACAAAGGCCAGTCAATTCACAGCCACTTCCGTACCATGCCACATTCCTCTTGTTGGGAAAAAAAATTCTGATTTTTTTTGGGTGCTGTTTGCTTCTCTACCATCCCCCCACCCCACCCCAACCCAGGACCACAGACTTAGAGCGAGAAACAAACCACAGTAGACGGAGCGAGCGTGAGACCCTGAATTATGAAAATCAGGATTTGAATTCTGCCTCAGACACTAACTGTATGTGATGTGACCCTAGGCAATTCACTTAAACTCTCCCAGTCTCAGCTTCCTCATCTGTAAAATGGGAATATTGCAAAAGTAGCATCTACCTCCCCAGAGTTGTATTGAAGATTCAATGAGATAACATATGCAGAGCACATTGTAAACCTTAAAGCATTGGCAGCACAGTAGATAGAGCTCTGGGCCTGGAGTCAGGGAGATCTGAGTTCAAATCCAGCCTCAGACCTTTATTAGCTGTGTGACCCTGGGCAAGACACTTAAACCTCAGTTTGCCTTAATCCATTAGAGAAGGAAACGGCAAACTACTTCAGTATCTTTGCCGAGAAACCCACGGACAATATGGTCCACAGGGTCATGAAGAGTCGAGCACGACTAAATTGACCCAACAATGCAACCTCTTTAATTTAACGATGAGGACACAAGCATTTAATAAAAGCTTGCTGAGCTGGGCATGGTGGTGCATGATTGTAATTCCTGCTCCTAGGGTGGCCAAAGCTGGTGGATTGCACGAGCTTGGGAGTTCTGAGTTGCAGTGGGCTACACCAGGCAGGTGTCCACGCTAAGTCTGGGGGGATTCAGGCTATCTAAGGAGAGGGGAACTGGCCCAGGCTGGAGACAGAGCAGGTCAAAGCTCCCATGCTGATCAGCAATGAGATAAGCGGTCCCTGCAGTCCTAGTCTGGGTGAGATAGGGAGACCTAGTCTTTTATTGTTTGTTGGTTTGTTTGTTTGTTTTGCTAGGCAATGGGGTTAAGTGACTTGCCCAGGGTCCCACAGCTAGTAAGTGTTACGTGTCTGAGGCCGGATTTGAACTCAAGTCGTCCTGAATCCAGGGCCAGTGCTCCACCCACTATACCACCTAGCTGCCCCAAGACCCAGTCTTAAAACAAACAAATAAATGTCTGTTTATTGATTGACTGAGAGTGTATCTTGGAAGAGACTTAGTGATTCATTCCAACCCCTTCATTTTAGAGAGAAAGAAACAGAGGCCCAGAGAAAAAAAAGGGACTTCTCCACCCTTCCACTAAGAGTTACCTCTGTACTATGCTGCTGTTGCGGGATTATCTGCCATTACATACTTTGAAGCTACGGGACTGGGTGACCTTTCCTTATCTTACCTCATCCCCTCTCTACTGCCTTGGGTTCTTCCATTTTGAGAAATGAGGCCCATCCTTAACCCAGCATGGTTCACTAGGAGTCTGTGTTTATTTCTCTTTTTAGCATCGGACTAAGCTCTGATCTCCTAACACTCCAGGGAAGATATTCATCTCAGAGCTCTCTCTGAGGTTAGCTGTCACTTGGTACCTGGGTCAGCTTTCCTCAGGAGTGGGTGGAACAAGAGGAGAAGCTGGCCTGCCGAGCCTCATTCCACCCACACAAAAATAGTTTCTTTCCTTTGATTGGAGCCAGGGAGACAGAAATGCCCAGGTCCTTTCTACTCTTTATTGTCCTAATTCTAAAGAGAATGGTGTCACCAAGGCCCACAATGGGAACAGATGGATGGTCAGGGAACAGTGAGCAGACCAGTTTATGTGGGATGGAAATGTCATAAAGGAAGGTGGTTATAAAAGGAGACTGGGGAGGGAGGAAGGAGTGAGATTGCAGAGGGTATTTTAAGTCTATGCTGAAGATTTGGCATTTTATGTTAGAAGCAATAGGGAGCCACTGAAAATTTTTATGTGGAGAGAGAGAGGAAACTGGCATGGTTACTCCTATGTTTTGGGAATATCAATTTGGCAGTTGTATGGGGCATAATGGATGGTTTGTAGGGGGGAGAGATTAGAAAAACTAATTAGGAAGCAACTACAATGGACATAATAATACCCATAGTGCCAACCATCCAGGGCTGTTGTGACTGTCGAATTTGATATAAATGTCAATTCTTAAAACCATTAACAAAATAACCCCTGAAGAGTGATTCCCTCGCATGTGGACTTACATAGACACATCATTCTTTTGTCCATTCTGCTGTCTGTAGAATACCATGCTAGGCACAATTGTCATCACAGAGAGAAAAATTATTCTCATGTTCTTAGCATCCTCACCTGCTCTAAGTACTAGGGAGACATAAAGGGGATCTCATTTACTCTAGCCCAGCAAGACCTGAAAGAACAGTATAGAAGTATATGATGTGTGTATGTGTGTGTGGGTGTGTGTGTATGCATACCTATATAGATATATAGATATAGATATAGACATTTATACAATATATACTATAGTATCTGCCTCATAGGATTGTTATGAGAATCAAATGAGATAATATTTGCAAAATGTTTTGCAAATCTTAAGGTACTATATAAATGCTAGCTATTAATTTTAGATATATTTAGATATAGATAAATATAAATATATAAAATATAAATTTAGTTATATAGTTATCTATAGTTATCTATAATATGTAATGATATAATAATATTACATACTTATATTTTATATATACATATAAATGTATGCTTGCATGTATATGTATACATGTGCATATATACGTGTGTACATGCATACATATATGCATATACATGTATATATTATATTTAAAAGTATATATATGTATATATATGCTTGACATTTATAAAGTGGTTGATGCTTTTCAAAGCACTCTTAGGTGCATTGCTATAGAGAACCCCAAACAATTGTCTCTAAAATTAATAGCTAGTATTTATATAATACCTTAAGATTTTCAAAGCATTTTACAAATATTATCTCATTTGATTCTCATAACAATCCTATGAGGCAGGTGCTATTGTTGTTCCCATTTTACAGGTGGGGGAACTGAGGCTGGGAGAGGTTAAGGGTCTTACCCAGGGTCAAACAACTAGTAAGTGTCTGAGGCTGGATTTGAACTCAGGTCTCCAAGTGCAGAAATCTTACCCACTATAACACCTAGCTGATTTTATGCTCCAGGGAAGGTGTGAGCTAACAAGTTTCACCAAAAATCTAGCTCTATTTTTATACCAGTCCTTTGATTAGTTACAGACTATGTCTAGAGGGAACTGTTGATTGAAACATTTAGGTAAAAAAAAAATCCAAGATATTTTGGAACCCCTCTACGTGATAGCAGAAAAACCAATTTTGGGGGAAGGGGAGGCAAGAAAGTAATAAATAAGTCATAACCCCCCAGTGATCTGGGCAACTCTCTGAGACTATATGATGAAGAGAAGGTGCTGAGCAGCATTGGAGTTTTCTCAGCTAGGAGTTCCCTGGAAATCACAGGACTAAGCTCCATCCCTGTCCTGCTCTTACTGACATACTAAACATGTGGAAATCAAGTTCACCCCCTTGGTTATGAATAAATTAAACTCCCTAGAAAATTCGCCCATGTTGTTAAATGGTAAGGGCTGAATTAAAATTAACGACCATAGCAATCTCTTTTCAAAGTGCTTTTCTGATGGAATACCCCAAGTCTATCCATCACTTTCCACCACCAGTCAATCAAATAGCAAGCATTGGTCCTGAGATCACAATGAGGAAATATCCTCATCAGCCTTTCGGAATTCTTTACTTCTTTTAAGGTGCTGTGTGATTGCCACCTCTTACATGAAGCCCTCCCCAATCTCAGCTGTAAGTTTTCTTTTTCCCCTTTGCCTCTTCTCTTCTCACCTCATACTATACATACATTTTATATATATGTATATATATATGTATATATATAGTATATATATGTATACACACACACACACACACACACACACACACACACACATATATACTATCCATACAGTGCCTTGATTTGTTACAAGGAGCAAGGAGCATAATAATCCCTCCTGCCTGGCATTTTATCACCAATGGGAGGACTTTGCAAAGCATCTCTTTGTACAGATGACTAGCCAGCTATCTCACCTAGGACATTTTTCAAGAATTCAAAGAAATCATAAGGTGCCATTAAAAAAACAACCAGCCTCAGAATGAACTCCAGGGACCTGCTTGCCATCATCTATTCGCCTCCATGCCTACCTCTTCCTTGTTTCAGTGGACTGGGCCGTTTTAATGGTACTCCCGTCTTGGGCAATCTCTCTTTCCTGGGAGGCAGGGGCGTCTCTGACTGGGAGGGGCAGGACCACTGTTTCCTGGGTCACCGGGATGACCTCTTCCTCAGCTCCTTGTTGGCCCAGATGTTGTTTGGCGTAATCAAAGCCTTGAACTGGCTGTAGAGAAGAAATACGGATGGATGTGTACATTTCCCAACAAACATTGGTATACATTGACCTTTAAGAGGAAGCAAGAGGGAAAACCCACTCATTCTTTTGACAAATATTTGTCCCCCAGGAGAGGAAGGTCTCTAGCAAAGGATGAGTACCCACCCTGACCTCTTGCATTGAATTTAAGGAGATTTCGATAAGAGTTACCCATGAAAAAGGCACTATGGTGTCATGCAGAAATGGGGGCCACTGAATATAATGATATAATAATTACGCGCTGCAGCTCTCATATTGACTTGGGAAACTATATATTAACATTATCTACGTTCTATTGCATTTTTATTTATCGTATTAAATATTTCCCAATTACAATTTAATCTGGCTTGGGCTTCACTCGGGAGTGCTTTGGGCCATGTGATTGACACTTCTGATATAATGGATCAAGAGTTAGCCTTGAAGCCAGGAGGTCCTAGGCTCAAATTCTGTCTCTGACACATTTGGACTGTATGATTCTGGGCAACTCATTAAAACTATAAGTTAGTGAGAAGTTACTTCACTGGTGGAGGGTTTTTCTTCACACAGAAGTTCCCTATGCCAGCAAAATCATAGTTCTAGGTCATATTCCTGTCCCTTTTAACAAATGACATTTATCCTGTTTGTCCCCCAAATCTATTAAAGCTTAAATCTGCACTAAGACTTGTGGGACACCCTATATAGAGTTTTCAGGTCTGCAAAGCATTTTCTATCTCTTATTCTACTAGAATGTAATTTTCCTGAGGGCAGGTTCTATTTCAGTTTCTGTCTTTGGATTTCCAGTGGCTACTGCAATCCCTGTTAATAATAACAATTATTATAGTTAACATTTATATAGTACTTACTATGTCCCAGAGACTGTGCTAAGTGCTTTACAAATATTACCTCATTTGATCCTCACAACAACACTGGGAGGTAAGTGATCTTATTATCGCCATTTTACAGATGAGGAAATTGAGGCAAATAAGTATTAAGTGACTTTCGCAGGGTTATACATAGTAAATGCTTAATAAATGCTTGTGGAATGAGTGAACAAACTATCTATTTGAGCCCCACAAAAGCCCTGTAATACAGATAGTTCAGTTATTATTATAGGTGAAGAAAGTAAGGGTGGAAAAGATGAAGTGATCTGTCCATGGTCATACAGCTACTCAATGTCAGATTGGGATATGGACCCTAGCTCCTTTAAGGGATGTAATCACCTACTAGATTCTAACATTTAATGAGGAAAATTTTAGTTCTGGAAGCCAAATAAACACAATAAAACTTCGTTAATTCCGCCTCATTTAGAATTTGTGATCATTCAACTCAGGCTGGTCTTTCTCTGCGCTGCCTATAGACAGAATCTGTTAAGCAAATTAATTGTATAAACAAGATTACAGGGGGTTTGTTTAACCTACTTGGGAGAATGGCCGACCATTTCATGGACTTTAGAACACTGTGCAAACCCAATGGACATTCCTAAATGGAAATGAAGATTATTTCTTCTTTAAAGCAAGCTCAGCAGGACCTCCTCATCGAAAGGGCATCATTAGAAGCTAGCTCCATTTCTATCACAGAATTTAAGTCATCGCCATGTGACCTTTTGACAAATCAATTTCTTTGCCTGTGAGATGAAGACCATAAGGTGCTTTTGGCATCCCAGTAGTCCTGGGAAGTTTGGATGAAAAATGAAAGCCTAGTTCAATGCACACGCCAGTGTAGGGCACCATCATCATTATCGTTAATATGGAAAAGGGAATTTCTTTCAACATATTCAGACTTTTCCACATTAGACAGGCTATTCTCCCAGTTCATTAGCACGAAATGAGTGAGGTTTAATTGCATCAGCAATCTCTTCTGAATATGACAGCTGTGAGCCAATCTCCAGGGGGTGCTCAATTTGCCAATAGCAATGAGGATTGGCTTTCTAAGAAAACCCCTATTCTTCCTTGCACACTGGTGTGTCTGGTACAGACATGACTTTCTAGTAAATCACAGTTTAGATTAAACTGGCAACAGTCTTTTTCATCAAGCTAATTTTAAGGATTAAATATAATCCCTGCCTTCTGATTCTATCAATATTTGCATCCTTTCCAATCAATGGAAGTTAAGAAAGACCACTAAGGTTCCTTCTGGCTCTGCCTCTCTATGACTGACATTGCCTTAGGCTGTAACCCACACAGCCATAATTCAATGAATTAAAAAGACATTTACTAATAATAGCTAGCTGGCATTTATAGAGGGCCTTAAGGTTTGCACAGAATGCCTCATCTGATTCTTACCACAATACTGGAAGGTGGGTGCTATTATTATCCCCATTTTATAAATGCAAAAACTGAGGCAGAGGTGAAATGACTTGCCCAGGCTCACACAGCTAGTGTCAGACCTTAGCTTAAAAAGGCCAAGGTCTCCTACCACATTGTGGCCATCTTCAGCTATCCTGATCTATATCTTGTCACTGGACCCAGGTGGCTCCGGAGGGGCTGGTGAGTGTACAGATGATCCTTGCCTCACCTAAATCCAATTCACTTGCAAGTCACGACATCACCTTCCTGATGTCCTTGGTCCTCTTCAAAAACAAAGGACAAGCAGCAAGAGGACAGATTTGCACACAGGTCTTCTTGATTTCAGGCTCAGCACTCCATCCACTGTGCCACCTAGCTGCCCCCTTTGTATGTACTTTGCATTCACTCATCTGAGTACAAATTGTATGCCTTCCTTAGAATGTAAGCTCCCTGAAGGCAGGCACTGTTTTGTTTTTGTCACTCTATCTTTGTGCAAAGCACAGTATCTTGCAATCAGCCAATCACAAGGACCTACCAAATGTCAGGCACTGTGCTCCAGGGGCTAGAGACACATAGTTAAAAATTAATATTAGGGCAACTAGGTGGCACAGTGGATAGAGCTCTGACCTTGGAGTCAGGAGGACCTGAGTTCAAATCCAGCCTCAGACATTTGACATTTACTAGCTGTGTGACCCTGGGCAAGTCACTTAACCCTGATGGCCTCACCAAAAAGCAAAAAAAAAATTTGTTTAAATTAATTATCTTCTGCTCTGAAGAGGCTCAAATCCCATGGAGGGAAATTACATCTATGCATAAAAATATACCCAAAACATACATGACAGAAATAAAAGTTAAGTACTTCATAAATGGTTGCTGAGTTGGGCTGCTCTCCTCAGTGAAATCTATTCCAGTTTATGAGATTTCCAATGATCCTAATGCCTGGGACTTAGAACATGGGCTTGAAATAAAGATTTGTGGCAAGAAAATTTTCTCTTCTTTTCAGGTCACTGCCCAGATCCTAAATGAAACAGCGCGGGACCTTTGGCTACCCTGGAAACAGTACTATGGAGGCTAGCCAATCAATGTAAAAGGACAGAATGATAATTTGGCTAGTCTTTCCTGGGTAAATGTACTTCTCTCGTTGGTGACTTTTCCTCTTTGGATCTCCCAGAACCCTTTGGTTTGGAGCAGTACCTGATGAACTTAATCAGATGATATTGTGTAACACCTCATCTGTGTTGCAATCACATCCCCCTACCTGTCTGTAAGCTCCATGAGAGCAAGGTCTGGGTCTCATTTTAACTTGCCATCCCTTCCCACCCCCCACCCAGTGCCCCGGCTGCATTGGCACCCAATAAATGTTGGCTGAATTGAAATGAATTGGAATCCTATGATTGTCTCTGAACACAAATAGCACATTAGCCCGTCATCATGAAATCTCAAGAGATCATTGTGGTCTCCCAGCTCTGGATTGTAGATGATAAATAGTCTTGTAAAAGCCTGTGGAGGTCTAAAGTCTCTCCTAGGAACTTGAAGGAAATCAGTATGGTTAATAGCATAGGAGGAGAGGACAGAACGTTCCCCTGGGTTAAGATCTCTAGGGGCAGTGACCATCTGGGCTTGGCAACAGTTCTAACTCTTGGCTCAGGAAAGGGATGGGGCTAAAGAGGGAAAGTAGAGTCTCTGTTCAGTTCCAAGTCTGACCGAGAAAGTAGAGCCTCTACTTTCCAATTCTTGAATCCTGTCAGTGCCCGCTCCAAACTCCCCCAGCTTGGCAGGGTCCCTCCTGTAGCCTTGGCAGTACCTTTCAAAAGTGCCAGTTATGGCTTATTAGCAAATTCATGGCCAATGTCTTCAGTAGCTGCTTTCACTAGCTTACACACTTTCCATGAGTCAATTCATAGGTTTTAGAGATAGGGGGGATATTGGTAAATGATTAACAATTGACTCTCTTACCCCAAAAAATGTATTTATGAAACACTTCTAAGTTTAATCTGTATTAACATTTTCTCCATTACTTTCTTAAGTCTAAACAATCAACCAGACAATAAATCAAGCCCTGACTAGGAGCTTTTGCTGATTTGGGGGGAGTGATAAATGCTCACACTGGAAATTTACAATTGATTCTTATGAGCTCTTCTGAGCTGGTTCTATCACACCCCTGGATAGAGGGTCGTCAAAGATAATTTAGTTATTGAATCATCAATCTAGGATTGGAACGGACTTTGGCGGTCACCTAGTCCAACCACATCATTTTACAGAAGAGGAAACTGAGGCTCAGAGAAGTTAAATGATTTGCCTGAAAGTCATACAGATAGCAAAGCTTGAATCCAAACCCAGGTCCTCTGATTTCTTGTTTCCCTTGATAAGAGTATAAGGTGGGGAAGTAACTGTTTATTTTTTTTCCCTTTGTATCCCAATGCCTAGCAGAGTGACTGACATTCACATGATGGTTAATGATATTTGTTGATTGATTGCTCCAAATTCAGTTTTATTTGCCCGATGCCAAATGTTGTCATGATAAACTAAAGCAAATGGCAAAAACTCTGTCTCCCCCCCCCCCCCCCCCCCATGCTGGTCATCAATTCTTCACTGATGGTAATGGAGGAGTTGAAAAAGGGGTAAAGGGAACTCGGAAACACATGCAGTTCTTAGACCGTTTGTAAACTGACCTATTTAAACAAGCAATTGATTCCCCAAAAAGGGAACTGGACAAAAGTAAAGACATTGACTCTGACAGTTATCACCGCTAAGTTTAACCACAGCAAATCACTACAACAAGAAGGCCAAAAGGATCCAGAAACTGCCTTTGCCAGTGGACCCTTGATATCGAGAACAAGACAAGACACGTGGCACTCAAGCACCATAGGTTTAAGATGCAAGCTCATTTTCAAAACACTACAAGGAAAACAACCGAAGGTTATGTACAATATCACCTCCTACAACAGTGAAAAGTAGTTGGAAAACAAAGAGCCTGCAGAAAACTGGGTGTGAGGCCCACCTAAGCCAGCTCAAGCCAAAAACATCTGTTGTTGAACCTGGGAAATAACAAACAGGCATGAAATGGAACAGATCTGCAGAAATAAATAAATAAATAAATAAATACCTGTATTTATTTCTACAACCATCTGTACTCATCACTGATGATGTAGCCAAATATGTGAGAGGCCATAGTTAATTTTTTGAAATAGCCTAGCCACCTCGAATTTTATAAAAATAGGGTTTGTCATTACACAAATGACAAATAGCATCACACAATTGCAGCTCTATCACAGCCCGTTGAGGTTCATTCATTTGTCAGAATATGGCCTAGGGTAAATCCTCATGGGCTCACTTCTCTAGGTGACTCTCTATTCTAAGCTTTCATTTATTCACTAGGCAAACATTTATGATATGTTTACTATATGTCAAGAACTATAAGAGACATTGGAGACTCAAAGATAAAAACAGAACTGTCCCTGCCCATAAGGAGATTACTTTCTATTGGGAGAAAGAGACAGGGAGAACAATATACACAGATAAACAAGCAAATAACTAAATACTATAATATATAAATATATTATTTTTATTATATATTATACACAATTATCTTGGGTGTATGTTGTATGTGTGTATATATACATAAATATATGTGTGGAGAGAGAGAGGAAGGGGAGAGAATAAGAGGGGGGAGAGAGGGAGAGAGAGACAGAGACAGACAGACAGACAGACAGAGAGAGACACAGAGAGAGAAGGATCTTAACAACTTGATATTGGGTGGGGATCAGGATGGGAAGAAGCTAGGCATTCCAAGAGGCAGAAAGGAGGAAGGAAGGCATCTCAGGCATGGGGCACCGCCTGTACAAAATCAAGGAGTTGGGAAATAGAATGTTGTACATTGGATAGAACAGAGAGGCCAATTTGGTTCAAAAAGAATGAGCAGCTAAAAAAATATGGGAAGCAATTGGGATGCTTTATGACCACTGAAGTGTTAAAATTCAAAGAGGCAAAAAAGAACGACCTTGAACAAAAGAGGGCATGAAACACTAAAACTGGACCTGCTGTAGTCTGCCATCAGATATAACATCAGAATTTCCCATCCTAGTATGAGGGGCCCCATGGATAGCATCATTAGCGGCCACGGTTGTGGTGTCACGCATAATACCTGGTCTCTGGTGCATGGGCGCAGATGTTCATGCCCCTAGATCAGAAGAGCCTGGCCACAGGTCCCAGGAAAGACACACTAACCTTCTCTGTGTAATCCCTCACATTTAGGATGGCTGGGCCAGCAGGGAGAGCCCGATGGTCCCACGGAATTCGGGCAGTGGGGCCGAGGCTCCCCGGCTGCCTCTGGCATCCTCCCCCGGGGCCTACAGGAATAACATGGCAGGCAAACTTTGCCATTCCCTCCCATCCCTTTGGCACTAATTGAATTCTGTTCACACAGGCAGGGCAGTGGGAAGCAATGTAGGCAGCTGGTTCTTTTCTGAAAGGCTGCAGTGCTGCACAGTCTATTGCAACAGCCGTTAAGACTGCAGTAAAAAAAAAAAAAAAGCCCTAAGCCAGCTCCAGTGGTCTGGCTTCCCCTGATAGGGAGCACTGGAAATCGAAGTGGCCATCTCAGAAGACAATTCAGTTCAGAAGACAATTAAATTCAGAAGACAATTCAGTTCAATTCTGCTCAGAATTTCCTACAAGGGAATGCATGTGGATGCGCCTGCTTCCAAGCCAGCCCAGCCCGGGAGATCACAGAGCACAGTGTCCAGGAGAGAGGGGACAGAGATATCAGCGTGTACCAGCAACGCCGGGCAATTTCGATACATCCCGAGGACATCCCCAGCACAGATTTTTGGCCATGAGGCACGCAAGGGATCACCATGTGTTTTTGAAGACATCTTTTAAATGTGGGGAATTCTTATCTGAGGCATCCCGGGCAGGTGCCAGGGGAAAAGCTGAGCACAGGGCAGGTTTCACCTGCAAGGGCCCAGCTGTGATAGGAAACCCATCATCTCTGTGATGTCTGATAGGCTCCAGGTGTCGCTGAGCCGGGCTGAGCTGAGTATGGAATGTCCCTGCTTGGAAAGTTTTCCCTCTTTTTTCTGCTGGATTCTAAATGACACCTGCTGAAATCAGAATCACACACCATACAATCATAGACCACGGTCCGGTCCCAGCCTGGCCCCTCTAGTTCAATTCCCTCATTTTCAGACAAGGAAAAGGCCCAGAGAGAGAAGTGACTTGTCTAAGGTCACAAAGATGGTACATAGTAGAGCCTAGATTTGAACCCAGGTCCTCTGAATCTAATTCCAGTATTCTCTCCACTGAACCCTAAAGCCCATATGTTAACTGTTGCAGAGAGCAGTGGTCTTCCCAGTTAGATCATTCAGGGGTAGGAGGTAATGTGGAAAGGTGGAAGGAACAACTGATCAGGGAGCAAGACTCATATTAGTACAGCCCCAACCCTGTCATTTCTTCAATTCAATGAGCATTCATTAAGTGCCTGAGAGTCAGCCAGTCTGGTCTAGTGGATAGTGTGCAACCTGAAGTCAGGAAGAACCAGGGTTCAAATCCTGCCTTTGACATGTACTGACTGTGTGACCCTGGGCAAGTCACTTAACCTGTTAGTGTCCCCAGGCAACTCTCAGTTGTAGATCTGTATTAGTTAAAGCTTATTCAACAGGAAGGAAGGAAGGAGGGAGGGAGAGAGGGAAGGAAAGAGGGAAAGAAAAAGGGAAGAAAGGAAGAAAAGAAAGAAAAGAAAGAAGTGCTAGGCTGTGGGCTAGGAGCTGGAGACAGAGAGAGAGAAATGAAAGAGTACCTGACCTTAAGGCATTCCCACTCTGCTGGGGGGAGATGGCATGTACATAAATATGTTAAAAACTAAATAAAGACAAAGATATCTGGGGTGAGGGGAGGGGAAGCTCTAAAAACTAGGGGGTATTGGAAAGGCTTCTTGTAAGAAATGGCACCTGAGCTCCTCCTCTAAGGAAGGTAGAGAAAGATGTAGAGATAAGGATGAAGGGCATTTCAGGGTCCAGTTAGCTACATGACCGTGGGCAAGTGGGCATCAGTTTCCCCCTCTGTAAAATCAGAAGTTGGGAGGAGAGGATCTCTAAGGTGACTTCTGGCTCTCACATTTTATGATGCTATGTTTCTAGTTCCTTGGGGCTTTGATTAGTCAGTCAGCCAGCACTGTGCTAACCTCTACTGTCATAGATTTTATGTCCCAATGGCAGAAGACGCCACAGCGCTGGCTTTGTAATAGGTTTATAGGTTGCACAAACAACAGGCACGGGTTTTTCTAAAGGGGAGTAGAAAGAGCCTGGTGCTGCTGGCATCACCCCCACAAAGGTTAACAGGCCTGTGGACATACCCTCTTCCCTGTTACCCTTCCTCTTTTTCACCAGTTGCTCTGGTCCAAGAGCAAAGATCTCCTAAGTGTCTTTCTCCCTGGTTGAGAGAATCTGCTCAACATTGAAGCAGAGACCCACGGCAGAGCTGACATGGCTGAGGCTTTAACCAACTACTCACCCCTGCCTTGACCATTAGACAAGACTAGGAACTCACAATCTTCCTTACACCTCAAGTAATTCTCCCTCTCCCCTTTACCTACACAATTCCCCTTCGTTTTCCACCTCTTGCTCAGGAATTGATACTCAAATCAATATTACCATTACTACTGTGAAGGTCATAATGATCTCCTGTCCTACAGCTCTACCCTGTGAATAACAGGCTGACCAGATTGAAAGTCTTTTTCCTGGCTCCCTCTCCCCACTTCCTCTAACCCATTCCTCCCATGTCTATATGACACTCATTGTGCACTATGGAATTCCATTCTATTGTTAATAAGTCTCCCTTCCTATTAACCTGTGCTCTCCCCTTCCCAGAAATGGCTTTGTATTTAATTCTTCTTTGTACATGTCTTTGCTCCCATAGAAGGTAAGTTCCTTAAAGACAGGGACTGCTTAATTTCTGTGTTTGTATTCCCGACATGCTGAGCACAATGCCTGGCACATAGTAGGCATTTAACAAACTCTTAACTGAGCAGAATTGGATTTAATTGAATTGAGCTGAATTGAATTAAGTTGAATAAACAGCTGAAATGACAGAAGCACATCAGAAAAGTGAAAAGGGTGCTGGGCCCTGGAACAAAGGCTTGGGTTAGAATCCTGCCTCTGACACTAGTGGGTGGAGGATATGGGACCTGAGTTCAAATCCCAGTTCTGCCACTTAGTACTTGTGTGACCTTGGGCAGGCCACTTCTCTAAATCTAGGCCTCAGTTTCCTCATTTGTAAAATGTGGGTGTTAGACTAGCTGACCTCTAAGGCCTTGTTCAACTTGGGATCTGTGATTCTAAAATCCTTTTCCTTTACCTCGGGGGTATCTCCCCCCACACCCACCTCCAACTCTCTCACCTTGATTTTGAACTCTCTTTCATGTGTTGTCTTCCCTGTTAGAATGTAAGCTCCTTGAGGGCAGTGACTGTCTTTGTTTCTATTTGTATTCCCAGCACTTAACCCAGTGCCTGGTACACAGTGAGTGCTTAATAGATGCTTGTTGACTGGACTTGACATCCAATGTTCCAATAAGTTCTCTTCTGGCCCTAATCTATGGCTCTGAGAAGAAATGTCTTACTCCCCTCCCTGAATCCCCAAAAAGCATTCCAATGCATGTTGATGAGAGGTCTTTCTCCCACTTACTTTTGCCCTCTGAGGCAGGTTCACCATGGTGTCTGGCTTGAAGTCATTCTTGTTCTTCCTGCAAAGCACTGCCGTGATGATGATAATGATCACAGTGACCACAGCAATGGGCGCCAGGACCGCAGCGATAATCCACAGGTTGTTGGGAGGGTTTTTAACGACCGCTAAAGCAAAACAAACAAGACAAAAACAACAGGGCCAAGGCAGAGCCACAAGTGAGGAGCCCAGGCCGAGGAAAACTCAACCAAAAGACTCCCCGCCAGAAGGAAGCCCGCAATCAGCGGTCGGGGGGAACCCTCCTTTTCCCAATACGATACCAGAAACAGAAGACAGCAAGGATGCAATTGTGAAGCTTGGAAATAGGCTTGTAGAAACGAGCTTTCCGCTAGCCAAGATCTGATGTGAAGGCAGAGTGAGATTCCGTGAACTTGCTTTGGCATTATTTGCATCAACAGATGAGTAATCATAATATTAACTTCTGTAAATAGCTCATTAGACAATGTGTATCTGTTGACATTTAAATGCTTACTGCTGTTATGGTTGTGACCAAATATTTGTATTTTAGTCTTGTGGCATGAACACAAAACAATCCCATTTTCTATAGATAGTCAGTCTATGGACTCATCTTTGGAAAATGAGAAGCAGGGTGGCCCAGTAGATAGAGAGTTGGACTCAGAGGAGCCATAAAGGGCTGGGTTCAGCTCCTGCTTCTGACATATACTGGCTGCATTAGCCTGGGTGAGTAACTTAACCTCTGAGAAGGCAGCTCTCTAGCAGCTACAAAGAAAGGGCTCGTTTGCATTGGTAGAGTGACAATATTCCTTTGAGCATTTCCTATACCAATAAAATGATAAGTCTAGTTCTTGTCCCTATACACCAGGGGTTCTTAAGCTGGAATCCATAGATTTGGTTTTTTTTTTAATTTTTTTTAACTATTTCAATAGAATTGGCTTCCGTTGTAATCCTATATTTTCATAAATGTTTTCTGCATTTAAAAACAATCTTCTGACTTGCATGAAATAATGAAGAATGAAATGAGCAGAACATTATACAGTAATAGCAATGTTGTTTGAAGAATGTGTTCAAAGTCCAAAGTTCGAAGAACTAAGTTATTCTGAGTATCAGAAGTATTTACATTGACTACAAAGGACTTATGAAGGAAAATGCTATCCACCGCCAAAGAAAGAACTGATAACTTAAAATGGAACAAAAAATGAATTTAAAAATTAAATAAAAATGAAGACAATATTCTAAGAAGGGGTCCATAGGCTTCACCAGACTTCTCAAGGGGTCCATGAAACAAAAAATGTTTAGGGCCCCTACTCTAGATAGTCAAACGTTTCCTTTATCAACTACATTCTTAAAATTCTTTTAGGTATGAACATTTCCATATTCAAAGAACAGAAAAAGAGGGCTGCATTTGAAGCCACACATCTCTATTACATACAGCTTATTTGTCTTAAAGTATATATTAAATTTAACTATGGACTGTGTATTTTGATAGGGGGAAAGAACATGCATAGTAGTGATGAGAATATGGTGCCGAGAATATCTTGTTTCTTTAGCAAGACATTGGCCATTGTTCTGTCTCATTCTCCTTATTTTTACATGCTATATTTCATCTTGTTACCATATAAATAATCTCTTGACCTCTATTCAAACTGAGATGGAATGGATTCGTCTTCTGCACACTAGTCAATTCTCTTTTAAAACTCATATGAACAAGGTCAGAGCAATGAAAATGATCCAACATCCACGTATTCATTGGCATAATCACCTGTCTGGACAAAGTGCTAGGCAAGGGTCAAGGTAGCTAAATCTAATCTAATTTATAAGAGTTTAATAATTTAAGTTGGAAACCAAATTAATATTTATGATCAGAGAGGGAAAAACATCAAGTTTTTAAGCAGAAAAGAATGAAAATATGGTTTAATCAAAAATTCCCCTAGGTCAGAAGAGACATTCCTTAGCTTGGCCTTCAGAGCCCTCTATTAGCTAGGCCTGCTCTACTTTTACAAGCGCAGGTCATACTACACTCATACCTGTGCTCCATATACCAGCCAAAATGGATCATTGGCCATCTCCAGTGTGTATTCCACAATCTCTCAGTTCTGTGTCTTTGCTCACCTAATTTCCTGTGCCTGGAATGTTCTCCCTACCATCTCTGCCTCTTAGAAATCCTAGCCAATATCTGGCTCAAAGGCCACCTCTTCCATGAAGGCTTTCCCCAGTCCCCCTCCCCCCCCCAGGAGAAAAGGATCTTTCTCTCCTTGAATCATGAAAGAACTTTGCCTTTCTTGTGTTCTATTTTGTATCCCTTTCATTTACATATGTTATAAAACCTACTTAGAGTATAAACTCCATGAGGACAAGGGCCATGTCTTTTTCTTTTTTTGCTAGACTTGCTTAGATTTCACTGGTAGAGGGACCTTGGTTGAGGAAACAACTTTGCCAAAGGGGAACAACCTATCTTCTGCAATTTATAGTCTAAGAGAGCTGTCTGGGGCCACCGCGAAGTCAGGCCACTTACCCAGGGTCACTCAGCCAGAACGTGTCAGAAATAGAACTCGAACATCATGCTTCTTTAATTTTTACCTCTTCCCTACTGCCTAACACAATTCATTCCATGCAACAAGTGCTTAATAAATGTTTCCTGAAAATGAGGATATGGAATAAAAGCACAGGAAGGCTTTTATGAACAAATGCAAAGGAAAGGAAATCAATAAAAAACAATGTGCACCATGACTCCAGTAACACAAATGGAAAGGATGAAAAAGCCTGACACTGAATGCTGTGGAATGATCATGACCAGATTGGTCCTGAAGAAGAAAAGCCTCTTCATGGCAAAGGCGGCTGATGAGGTGTTGGGTAATGTGACTAGCCTATTTTTTTCTTTCTTTTTTGTATTTTTTGACAAGGGATGGCTCTCTGTGGAAGGGGGAAGGATAGGTGCTGCGCCTGTAATTTTCTTGGTATAGGGACCTTTTGGGTAGGGAAATTCCCTCTACCAATTCAAGTTAACACTTTCTCTACATCTTATAGTCTTAGGGCAGTGAGAGGCCCAGTCCATTATCACACAGCCAGTATGTATGCATCAGAGGCATTTCTTACATCCAGGTCTTCCTGGTTTCAAGGCCAGGTCTTTCTCCACTATGCAACACTTCCTGTCCAAGGCAAAGGAGAGGGATATATTTGGAAATGAAGGTGATAAAGAAAAGATATCAAAAAAAGTTGTTTTTTTTAAATTGAAATTGGAGTATATATTTAAGATGGGGAACCTAAAATAATTATACTTGCGATGGCATTAATTTGTTTTCTTTCTAGCCCTTGTTTGTTGCAATATTTACCATAGTGAACATTTATTAAGGCCTATTATGTTCAAGGCAAAGAAAATCCATGTGCTCCTTGGGAAATGCAGTGACTTTCTTGAAGACATTGTCTGGGGAGTCCCTAACCCAGAGGTTCTTAAGCTTTGTTGCATCTTGGACCCCTCTGGCATCTGGTAAAGCCTTTGCTTTTAATTCCATAAAACAAGACACATAGGATTACCAAGGGAACCAATAATGTTGAAATATAATTATCAGAATATTAAAAGAAACAAGTGAATAGACCCAAGTTCAGAACCCCTGCCCTAGGAGATCTAGACTTGATGATGATCACCTCCGCTACCCCATGAGTCATGTTTCTGTGTTAGTTTGATGACTTTTGGGGATATTTTTTTCCAATTCTGAAAGTGGGCTAACCTTGACCTCTCATTGGAGGGCAGCCCTGCTAACCCTCGGTCAGAAGCACAACGTTTTAGAGCCTCAGGTGGGGAAGGGAGAATCTGCTGAGGTCACAAGGATTTATTTCTTCAGAAGAATTTCTACACAGAAGCCCAATGCTCTCCCCTCCCTGGGACACTTGCCCTCTGCAGACTTCTGCCCCTCTGAATTCTTACTTTCCTTTAAGGCTCAGTTGTGGCTGTGTAAATCCCTTGTAGAATGTAAGACACTATTTTCATATCGCCAGAGCCCAGCATAAAGTAGGTGTTCAGTCAACCACCCACCCACCCACCCAACCAATCAATCAACAAGCATTCATGACATTCCTGCAAAGGCCCCAGCACTGTGCTAGAAGGTGGGTATACAAAGCCAAAAGTCTAACATCACTTGCTCTCAAGGAGTTTATAACCTAACCAGGGAAAACGTGTACGTACACTTCATTTGTCACCAGATTGCTGTTTAGTCATTTTTCAGTTGTGTCTGACTCTCCACAATCACATTTGGGGTTTTCTTGGCAAAGATACTGGAATAGTTTGCTATTTCCTTCTCCAGTTAATATTACAGATGAGGAAACTGAGGCAAACAGACTCAAGTGACTTGCCCAGGGTCACACAGCTAGCAAGTGTCTGCGGCCAGATTTTAATTCATGAAGATAAGTCTTCCTGACTCTGGGCTCAGCACTCTGTGCACCATGGTGTCATCTAGCTGCCCTTGCCACCAGATACTCCAGTTGATTTCAGCTCCATCATCATCATCTTCATCATGCCCCACCCAAGATACACTCATCACCAGGAAACTCATCATCATGGAGATTGTTTCAGCTTTGCTATTGGACACCTCAAGGCTACCCTCATTTGTTCCTGATCTCTCTCTCCCATTAAATTATAAGCTCTTTTTGAGGGCAAGGACTTCTTTCTTTTTCTTATTTGTATTATCAGCACTTTGCATGGCACATTAGCGTGTAAATGCTTAAAAGTGGTTATCATGTCATACACATGTGGGTATATACAAAAAGATACTATATATACTAAGTGGTATACTGTATCAATGAAATAGTAATCTGGGAGCAAGGGGCTTATTAGCAGCTGGAAGAATCAGGCAAGGCTTCACGAAATTGAACTAAATTAACCAAGGTCAACACCGACCTTGGGTAGACGATTTGTAAGAAGGAACTGAAAAGATTCTTAGGGCAAAAGTGAATTTTTACAAGGGAATTTTTCTTTTTAAACCCTTTGGGAACAAAGTTCCTGCAGCAATCTAAGCTCAGGGGAAAACAGTGACAGCTTCTATTTAGAGACTTTTGTCAGTATCACATTTTCACTTAGGCAAGAAATAGGAGTCGCCATCGCCATGCCTAGAGAGTCTGGGTGGTGCCAGTGAACCCCTGCATGGGAGAGGAAATCTCTTGGGGGGAATCAATCAACCCAAATTCACCTGGCTCACTGGAATCATGTCTATTTCAGTGTTTGCCAGATTTGCTGCAGAGAAGGGCAGACCAAGGCTGGAGGCAATTAAGAAGCAAATTATAATTATCATCCATCAGCCATTGACATCTTTTGTCCCGTTTCCCCTCCGTTCTCCCTATCCCTTCCATAGCAGAAGCAAATGTCATCCATCTGATTTTTAAAATTGGGGCCCACTAACCCAGGTCTGAAGAATAGCTTTCCTCTTCAGGAGACATGAAATTGCAAACAGAGAGTGGGAAACAAGGATGTTTTTAAATTCCCTTACGATCAGCCTGTAGAAGAACTACGTGGTGTAAGGTCAAAGCCATCCTCTGGGAGTCGATGGTGCTCAAGATCTTGGCGGCCGCCGTGCCTAGCAAAGGTTTCCCATTGTGCAGCGTGTAGTACGTTAATTCTGCAGGATCTTTGGGGCCGGGGACGCGCTGCATCTTCACCATCTTTCGGAAAGAGAAGACCCGTCTTTATGTTGTGGCTTTTATTAGACTAGATAGAGCCTGATTACCCTGCTGCTGATGCCTTCCACTGTGGAGAAACTTTTTTAAAGTTTATCTTGTTTTTTTATTTCTATTTATTTAATATTTTATTTTTCCCCAGTTACATGTAAAAACAATTTTTAACATTTGTTTTTACAACTTTGAGTTCCAAATTCTTTCCCTTCCTCCCTCCTCACCCCCCCACTTTGAGAAGGCAAGCAATTCGATATAGGTGTAGTCATACAAAACATATCCATAATAGTTGCTTTGTGAAAGGAAACAGACAATTAAAAAAACCTCAAGAAAAATAAAGTTAAAAAAAAGTATGCTTCAATCTGCATTTAGACACCATCAGTTCTTTGTCTGGGGATGGATAGCATTTTTCATAAGTCCTTCAGAGTTGTCTTGAATCATTGTATTGCTGAGAGAGAAACTTTTTTTAAAAGCCATGTGGTATCTATTAGGGAAAGCAGGTTAGTTTGAGAATTAGATTAGAATCCCATTCATATCTATGGGCTACCCGAAGACCGCGGCCAATCCCTCCTTCACTCTTGTAGACCTCAGGATCTCATCTGTTAAATGACAACGTGGGATGAGAAGTCCTTGAGAAGTTTGCTTTAAATCTGATATATACCTTCTACTGAGCTCTTTGTATAACTCCCTTGTACCACTGTCCTCAAAAATTAATACAGCAAGGGCCAGATTAATGCAAATAGTGAATCCTGTGTGGTGGTTGCATGTATTCATATGTGCATTATTTAAGATTATAATTATATAAATGTAATCCTTGATTCCAGACAGATGAGAATATACAGTGTGGATTGAAATAATGTGATCACTTCATGAGATTCATTATTCACACTAATCAGAACCTACCTGTATCTCCAGGCAGTTAGGTGACACAACGGATAGAGTGCTGGGCCTGGAGTCAGGAAGACCCAAGTTCAAATACAGCCTATGACACTTACTACCTGGATGACCATGGCAAGTCACTTAAACCTGTTTGCCTCAGTTTCCTCATCTGTAAAATGAGCTGGAGAAGGAAATGGCAAACCACTCCAGTAACTCTGCCTAGAATTCCGGTATGGAGTCATGAAAGGTTGGACACGATGGAAATGAATAAACAACAAGTTGTATCCCCAGAGTGAATGAGAGGTATGTGTGTGTGTGTGTGTGTGTGTGTGTGTGTGTGTTTGTGCATATGCATATGTGTGAGAGTGTATATGTGCATGTATGTGTGCAGGAGTATGTGAATGTACATGAATGTGTGTGCATAAGTGTGTGCTCGTGTGTGTTTTAAAGCTCATCTCTGGACAAGAAGTTTGGTCCTGAATGAGAAATACTGGTTTTTATTGGGGACTGGACCAGCTTCCATTGATGTGGGGAGCTCCTAAAGCAGAAATTCTTCCCATTGCTGACAATCAGTAATGGCCTGACATCCTCTGTAAAATGAGGGGGTCAGATCAGATGACCCCTGAGGTGTCCTCTGCCTTTGCATCCAGGATCTTATGGATCTAGAATCTTAGAGAACTGTCTTGACACAGCTCACAGTAGGCACATAGGCATGCAGTAGGCATGCGGGGACACTATGAAGCTCAGTGACTTAGCCATAGTCAAAGAGTCAGTATTTGTCAGAGGGAGGATTTGAACCCAGGTCTCTCCTTGGAAATACTGCTATTCCCATCTTTTTCAATCTCCAGACATCCTGGCCCTGTTTTCAAATGGATTGCTATTTCACATGAGAACAATTCAAAGTGATTTAAGTGATAGGACTTATTTAAATATCTTTTTTTCAGTCAAAATTCCTGATAGAAATATCAAGATGATTTTGTCCAGGACCTTGAGAACTTGATAGCTAACAATAATAGCTGGTATTTTTATGACACTTTAAGGTTTGCAAAGCACTTCACATGTGCTACCCTTTGATTCTCATGACAATCTTAATGGTGGTAAAGGTGCCATTAATATCTTTATTTTTCAGATGAGGAAACTGAGGCACAGAGAGGTGATGTGTCTTTTCCAGAGTCACATGACTAGTAAGTGTCTGAGGTAGGATTAAAACTCAAGTCTTCCTGATTCCAAGTCAGTCATTCTATCCATTATATCACCTAATCATACCTTTAAGTCTGCAGACTTGTGAATGTGAGCTTCATACTCCCCAGAGACCACCTCTTCCACCCCAACTCTAATCCTTTTTCATTTTCTGTATTAAGCAGAAAGGCCCAGATGTAATGAGACTCAGAGAATGAATTTAACATGGGGTTCCAGGGCACGCCAGCCACTCAGGGTTTCCATACGACCGAGCAGGTGGTAAAGAGGCCTCTGAATAATCTTCCTTTATTTTGATTTAATAGCAAATTATGCGGATCTATGACTCTTAGGAGGTCACTGGCACATCTGATATAGAGAGACTTAGATTTGTAGCCCCCGTCTGCTTCACATAGATTTTTTCCCCACGTTTGAGATGGTTAAGCAGACAAAGAACTGAGAGAAAGAGAGAGAGAAGAGAGAGAGAGAGAGAGGGAGGGGAGAGAGACAGAGGAGAGAGACAAAGAGAAAGAGAGAAACAGAGACGGAGAGACAGAGAGGAGGGAAAGGAGAGGGAGAAGAGAGAGAGGTGGGGGGAAGGAGAGGAGAGAGAGATAGAAGGGGGAAGGGAGAGGGGAGAGAGAGAAGAGAGAAACAGAGAGAGGGAGGGGAGAGAGACAGAGGAGAGAGAAAAGAGACAGAGAGGGAGGGGAAGAGAGAGAGGGAGAGAGAGAGAGAGAGAGAGGACTAGACAGGCCCTTTAGAAATGCAAACAGTATCAGTCTGGTACAGCTGCCACAGAACTCTATGATTACAAGCTTTTGCTCAGTTAAGGCAAATCTCATTTCATGGACACAAGTCTATAGGAGATTTCTTCTTCTTCTTTTGATCAATTTATAATTTGTAAATTACAAATATTGCATGGAAACTACAGAGGGGAAACTCAAAATCCGGTGGCATAACTTAGCAACTCTTCCTTTTTAAAAGGCAGCAAGATATAGCTAATAATAATAGCTAGTGATTCAGCAGCATTGTAAGGCTTACAAAGTGTTATCATATGTTATCTCTTTGAATCCTCACAACACCCTGTGAAATAGGTGTTATCATCCCCATTTCATAGGAGGAAACTGAGGCAGAGAGAGGTGAAGTGATCTGCCCAGGGTCACACAGTTAGTAAGTGTCTGAGATAGGATTTGAACTCAGGTCTTCCAGATTCCTAGTCTAGCAAGGGGTGGGGAAGAGGAAGATGAGCAGTGAGCTTTCCATCATTGGAATTGTTCAAACAGAGGCTGGATGGCTATTTACTAGCAATATTATAAAGGAGATTCCTTATTTGAGCATCATAATAATAACATCTAGCATTTAAATATCACTTTAAGGTCTGCAAAGCACTTTATATATTCTGTCTCATTTGGTCCTCACAACAATCCTATGGGTTAGGTGCTATTATTATCCCTAATTTACAGATGTAGAAAATGAGGCTGCAAGAAGTTACGAGACTTGCCCAGATGTAATGCAAAGAAGGAGGAGACCCATAGGTTGAAATCCTAGCTCTGCCTCTGACTAGCTTGCGTGGCCATGAGTACTTCATTCCATCTGTCTTAGTCTGGGTTTGTGTAAAATGGAGCTAAGCGCACATGTAGGGCCTGCCTCACAAAATTGACATGGTCAGGGAGGGCAGATAGGAAACCTTACAGCTCTACAAAAATGTGACTTGACCTAATGGTGATGATGATGAAAATACTGTCACCTTCCAGACCAGTTACAACCCCTCCAAAAAAAAAAAACCAAACCCCAAAACCCTGATATGTTCATATAGGTAGAGATCCCCAGGCAAAGCAAGGGATGTAGACGTGAAAGGGACCTCAGGGGAAATCTCATCCAATCTACTTTTTTCACAGGTAAGGAAACTGAGACCCAGAGAGGTTGTGTGATTTGCCACAATGTAACAATAGTAATAGTAAGAGCTCACATTTATAGAGCACTTTGAGGGATGTAAAACACCAAACACCTCATCTCATTCAAAGTCACAAGTGGAATCACTGAGACTTGAACCCACACCCTCAAACTCCAGTGCACCATACACCCTCCCAGTCTGGATGGCTCCTAATAAAGTAAAGGGACTATCTTTTTTTGGTTTGGTTTTAGGCTGAAGGTCAGATGTCTCCTTTTTCATGGCCCACTTCCATCCTCACAGTATCGTGACCCCTAGTCAACCCAAAGACTGGCAGTCTGCAGGACAAACTATTCTACACCATCAGAGCCAAACCAAGAGGTTTTTCTTTGTCACAAGGAAGGGCTTCATTTGGGAGAGGGAAGGGTCCAAAAATGACCAATGGAAAGACAAAAAGGCATCAACGAAATTTTTTGTTATTTAGTCGTTTCAGTAGTATCTGACTCTCTGTGACCCTGTTTGGGATTTTCTTGGCAAAGATACTGGAATGGTTTGCCATTTCCTTCTCCTCATTTGACAGATGAGGAAATTGAGGCAAACAGGGTCAAGTGACTTGTCCAGAGTGACACAGCTAGTAAGTGTCTGAGGCTGGATTTGAACTCACAACAAGGACATCTCCCTGACTCCAGGCCCATCACTCTATCTATTGCGTTGTCTAGCTGCCCATCAATGAAATATATATTTTAAAATAAAAATAAATTCCTGGAAGAACAGAAATGAAACAAAAAAAGACACTGGTTTATGTGACTTACTAGGAAATGGATTTTCACAAATTTATTCTGACTCTGGGGTGCTTCCTCCAACTCACCTGAACTGTGTAGCTCCCAAGAGTTGTGGCCCTCTTTAGCCGCCTGCCTTGTTGCTGGGACATCATAAACAGCTGGGCCAGCCGCTGTTCCATGACTCTGGCGAAACTCTGATTGTGGAGTCCCACTAAGGTGTTGTCTACTCCTTGCAGAACTGTGGATGAAGAAGGAGGACATGGGGGTCATGCTGGGAGACCTTCTTTCTGGAGGGAACCCAAAGATTCTGCTCTGGGTGAATACCCAAAGATCAGAGAGCCATAGGAAATGGGAAATCAGATTATAAGTCAACAAGGCCCCAGAGGCCATATACTCCAACCATCTTGTGTTACAGATGAGGAAACTGAGGCCCAGAGAGCTTATGTGACTTGTACACTGGTCACATAGACAATTAGAACTGAGAATCGAACCCAATTCTTCTGACTCTGAATATAGCATTCTTCCCATTATACCACCCTGCCAGAGTAGGGGAAAACTCATGGTCTGATATCACAGTGTCTTAGCCCACCCACATGCCAACCCCCAAATACACATATGCAACAGACCATAAGAAGAATGTGGAGTCTAAACATGTATAACCTGTATCGAGTTGCTTGCCTTCTCAATGAGGGTGGGTAGGGAGAGAGTAAGGGAGAAAATTTGGAACCCAAAATTTTAAAAACAAATGTTTAAAAAAAATTGTTTTCACATGCAACTGGGAAATAAGATATACAGGAAATGGGGTATAGAAATCTATACAGGAAAATGGAAGGGGAAGGGAATAAGAGAGGGAGGGGAGAGATAGAAGGGAGGGCAGATTAGGGGAAGAGGTATACAGAATGCATGCCATCTTGGGGTGGGAGGAGGGACAAGATGGGGAGAAAATTTAATTAATAAAAAAATACAAAAAAAAAGAATGTGGAGTCTTTCTTCAGCAGAACCTAGGCCATTCTGGACCTGGACTAAGAGGTCTTGCTTTCACTGCTTACTATCTGTGGGATCTTAAGCAGGTCACTCACTTATCTAGGTCTCAGTTTCCTCACCTGAATCCCTTCCAGTTCTTACATTCCATGTTTCAATGTCCTTCCCAGTTCTGAATTCTATGTTATTAATCAAAAAAGCTCCTACTATGTGCCAGGCACTGTGCTAAGTGCTGGGGATACACAAAGAGGCAAAAGACATCTCTGCCCTCGAGGAGCTTGTGATCAGATGGATCACAAATATATATGCCCATTCCAGCTCTGACACCCTACATTCTACGTTCTAACATCTTGTTTTTATTTTCTGTGTTCTAAGGTTCCTCCCAGCTCTAAATCCTTTTAGCTATGATCTCTGAGCCTCAAAAGACTTTATTAGATCTTGAATCATAGGGCATGCAGTTGGCCTCCATTCAGAACTGCTAAGGCCATAGAAACTATTTCTTGTTTCCCCCATTTTGCATAAGAGAACTTGGAGGGGGGAAAGACTATAAGACTATAACTTCTTTCCCAGACTATAATGGGAAAGAGAAGAAAGGAATAGAGTTGAGAATATTTCTGTTGTTTTCCATGTCCATTTCCACTCCATTTATGGTGGAATTCCAGACAATAGCAGAATAGTGGAATATTCCAGAGGAGGGAGATAGTGGCCCTCCCCAGACCCCTGAAATCCCACTTGATAGGTGGCTTCCTACCCCAGTCACCATTTGGTTTGTCCTCATCTCAAGACGGTCTTGGAAGGGCCTTACCCAAAATTTCATGCACAAGCAATAAAAAGAGCTTGTACCCAAATCATAAATATTAAAGCTACATCTTGGTTCAAGATATACTCCTATGTAGACAGGGGCATTTGCAATATTAGACTTTCCCTTAATTAGAACTGGTAACCAGTTGCCCTGTTTTTGCAGCTCATCTTTTGAGGACATAGAAATAAGAATCTGGCTATGTGGAAGAGTATGGAGATGGAGATAGAGATAGATTGATAGATTGATAAATGTATATATATGTATACATGTGTGTATGTATATACAGGGTGCCCCTATTAAGTTTAATGGCTTAAAACTACACAAACATTTTGAGGGCAGTTTATATGGATATACATAAATATCATTAGTCATTTTCCAATTGTGTCCAAATCTTCATGACTCCATTTAGGGTTTTCTTGGCAAAGATACTGGAGTAGTTTGCCGTTTACTCCTCCAGCTCATTTTACAGATGAGGAAACTGAGGTAAACAGGGTTAAGTGACTTGCCCAGGGTCACCTAGCTAGTAAGAGTCTGAGGTTGGATTTGAACTCAGGTCTTCCTGACTCTAGACCTGGCGTTCTACGCACTACACCACCTAGCTGCCCCTATACATCTATACAATCATACATACATATGCACACAAGCCCTATATAGGGCATTCATTAACATCCATCCACATACAGCCGTTATCCCATACACAGGCTGATCAGGTGACAGACACTAGCGACACTGGGAGAAAGATGTGTAAACAAGTTATGGAAGAAATAAAATCCGCAGCTGGTCCCAGAAATTGCTTCTCTGATGCCACAGACACTGAGCAATCCCTACTGAGATCATAATGCTCTTCTCTGTCTAGGGCTCCTGGGCTTGGCTCTGGAGTAATCTTCCAGCTGGATCTCTACAAAGAGAGATAAAGGACTCTGGCCCTGTCCTTGGTACTTCAGTTTCTAGAAAAGCCCCTAAGAATTCTTCCTGCCTGCTACAGCCATCAGTGGAGAAGGAAAGCCAACCTGTCGTGTGATGCTGGATAAGAGTTTGGGGGCTTGCCTGGTTAGGGGAAGCTGCCACTCTGAGTTAAGGAGAGGTTTCTCCCTTGCCCTCCCTAGTGGAAATGCACATTGGATTGATCTCCGAAGGATTGCTTAGCTGGCATCCGCAGGCTGTTCGTGTCTTCAGGGCCTGTGATGGCTAAAGAAGAGTGGGACTGATCTGACACTGGGCATACTGAGAGGTTTTGACTCTGTGGGTTGTATGACAGGAATTATCTCTGAGTGTTTAATTGACAAGCTAAAACTATCCCCGAACCTCAAGAGAAAACCCTCATGTCAGGGCCTCCCATAGAGTAATACAGAATGAAAATCTGGCCAATTACAGCACACAGTGACACTTCCATTAATTATAAGCATGTCTTCTCATGGCAGGCTTTATTGTCAGAACCCCCATGAGCAGAGGCAGAAATAACCTAGAAGGCAAAGCTCTTTGTACCAAGATGCAGATGCCCCTTCTACCACACTCCCTCCAGCCTTCTCTTCCACAGAAGTGAGGCTGCAACTTCGTGGTCCTCTTTGCTACATTCTCTAACTCTCTCCAGATAGTTACACACACAGTGATGGTGGATCCTGTGTGCAACCTCTTGGCCTCAGTGGTACCTCCCCCATTGGCAGGTTAGGGGCATCTGAGTCCTGCAATATGGTCCTTCCTTCAGACAGGCTAATGCCCATGGAAAGAGGCCTCCTGTGATATCTATAGCTGTACATCTGTGTGTATGTGTGTATATATATGTATGTATTTGTGTGTGTATATATACATATATACATATGCATATCTATACATACACACAAAATTATACATATATACATGTACGTGTGTACATATGTATAAATATGTGTATACATATATATACAAATTTATGCATGCATACATACACGTGTGTGTGTGTGTGTGTGTGTGTGTGTGAGTTTGACTTCTTCTTGGCCACACAGTGAGGAATTTTGAGTAATAGGAGGAAACTACAAAGAGATAAATGTAAGCTTGATGCCAGGATGAATGTCCCAAGAGAAGTCCAAATGTACGATAGACTGCCTTAGAAGGGAATCTCTTCTCCTTCACTGGAGGTCACAAATCAGAGGCCCAGTGATCACTTGCTGGGGATATTATAAGGACATGAAAGGACTCCTGAAACTGGCTGGAATAGGCTCAAGAGGGCTGGCCGTTACATTTTTCAGTGTGAGTATTGACACCTAGGAATTCAGTGAACATTACAAACCAGGGTTTAATTTATTGTTTTGGTGATGCCTGGATTTAAGAAAAGTGATAGATAAAATGTCAGTAGTACAGATTAAACTTAAAAGTGTGTCAAGTCTGTGGGGTTTTGGGGGAGGGAACTGATTGTTAAACATTTATCAGCATGCTCCTAGGAGCCATGATCAGATACATATTACACTAAATGGCTTCCAAGGTCCCTTCCAACTTGGGTAATTTCTGAGGATACAGAGGATACAGGATACAGTGTAGAAAGTGAGGATATAATAGTAATAACAATAATAATAGTTGGCATTTATATGGAGCCTTAATGTTTGCAAAGTGCTTTAAATATATTATCACGTTTGATCCTCAAAACTATAGGAGGTAGGTACTACTATTACCATTTAACAGATTAGGAAACTGAGGTAGAAAGAAGTTAATCAACTTGCCCAAGGTCACACAGCTAGTAAGTATCTAAGGTAGGATTTGAACCCAAGTCTTTCTGACTGCCAGTCCAACACTACCTCCTAGCTGCCTCTAATAGAAGCAACAGGTACCGTTGCCCTTTTTACATAGTTTGCTCTACAATTCACACTATAGAGCTTAGGACTGCCTTCTGCCTTCTGAACTCACGAGCAAGCATTTATATTCTGAAAAGGCAGTGTGACATTTTCTATGAGAAATATAGCAGCATACTTAAATGTCTCTACTGACTTGTTGCATATGAACCCATTCATGGTCAGTCAGCACGGCAGATACTGTAGATTGTTTTTCCCATGACGGGTGATGACCTCCCAGTAACCACACTCTCATTCCTGGTTCCCTTTGTGACAAGTGGCCCGTGTTTAAGAAATGGCCAACTCCTCATTGCATCATGGATCCACAGAACCCATTCAAGGTAACTTAAGACCCTTGACTTTGGTCTCATAAGCACCACAGGCATCCAGGGGTGACAAATACTATTTCCCTTGGGTTCTACCAGCAGGGAGACAACTGCAGAGAGACAGGTCTAGGTTTGATAACTTGCTAACAATCACACCTATCTCAGAGTGGAATGGGATGCCATGGGAGGTAGGGAGGTCTTCAAGCAGAGCCCAGAGGACTACGTGATGGATATGTGGTAGAGGGAAATATGCATTAGATTAGATGACCTTGGAGGTCCCCTGTGATCCAAGCCTAGGGACTATTAGCAGGGCTCACCTCAGAGGCTGGTCCCATCTCAAGAGAATTTATCGTAGAGCATGGACATCTGAACCACTTTAAACCAAGAGGGACTGATGGGTTTGAAACTACCAACACCCTCAGGACATTCAAATTGAGAAAATGATTTTTGCAAATATAATAGGATCAGCTGGGCCATATAACATATTATAAAATATATATTACATATACAAATATAATAAGATCAGCTACGTGGTGTGGTAGAGAGAGCACTGGGCTGGGAGTCAGGAAGCCTCATCTTCAGGAGTTCAAATTCAGCCTCAGACACTAGATGTGTGACCTTAAGTAAGTCACTTCACATTGCTTCAGTTTCCTCATCTGTAAAATGAGCTAGAGAAGGACATGGCAGACCGCTCCAGTATCTTTGCCAAGAAAATCCCAAATGGAGTCATGGAGAGTAGGACACAACTCAAACCCAGACTGTTACAATTGTGTTAGTGGATTATAGCTAGCAGAGTCTAGTGTTTTTTCATACTGAAAATAACAACTATAACTGGCATGTGAGATTTGTAAAACACTTCATCCCATTTAAGCCTCAGACCAACCCCGGGAGGTAGGTGCTATTAGCACAATTATTTCCATTTTATGGAGGAGAAAACAGAGGCTCAGATAGTCTAAAGGACATGCTTATAGTTGTCCATGTAGGAGGTGCCAAAGGCAGGATTTGAATACAGGTCTTCTGGAGTTCCATTCTAGTATTTTATTCACTATACCAAGGGTGGAGAAACTATGGCCTTTTAGGCCTTAGGTCCTCAGCCTTTTGACTGAGTTCAAGTTTTACAGAACAAATCCTCTTTATTAAGGGGATTTGTTCTATGCAGTTTGGAATCAGTCAAAGGGCTGCACTTGAGGGTCTAGAGAGCCACATGTGGCCTCAAGGCCGCAGGTTCCCCACCCCTGCACTATACCATTAGATTGTAAGCTCTTTGAGGGCAGGAATGGTCTTTTGCCTTTTTTGTATCCCTAGTACTTAGCACAGTGCCTAACACATAGTACACACTTACTATAGGTTGGGTGATTCATGGGTTATACCACACTGTTACTCAGCTTGCTTCATTTACTCAATTTGCCCTGCCCCTTACAAGATGAACAGTCCTGTTAGGGGAGGTAGGAGATGGAGTTTCCTTTTCAGGGGAGAAGTGCAGTATAGACCTACACTTTAATTAGTTTAGGCAGAGTGACACAGTGGAAAAGGTGCGAGTTTGGGGATCTGAAGACCTGCTTCTGTCCCTTGCTATCTGTGTGACCTTTAATCACTTTTGGTTTCAGTTTCCTCATCAGTGAAATAAGGGAGTTGACTGAGCTACCTTCTATGACTCCCTCCAGCTCTAAAGCTATGATTCTGGTATGGATACTCC